ATTTTGATCAGATTGACAGCTACGGTGAGACGATCTCCCTAGAAGCTCCGTAAAGGTACGTGTTGTGATGTCTGTATTTGCTTCCCCTGTCGCGAGTCCGGATCACTCAGTGATGATACTATATACCTAAATAATCTGTGGAACCTCAGCTTTAATCGGATATATTGTATGTGCAGCTACGATAAGTAATAAGGGTACTTTTATCTTGAGTTCTGTGCCAATGTCCGTTGGCATTTTTCGCTAAGGGGTCATTTAGATGCTTCTTATGAGACTTGTGTTTTGTTTTGGTAAAAATGGTTTGTATCGTCAATTAGCTGAGATTATTTCCATTAATCTGGTATAACACATTAATAGGTTCTTAAATATTAAGATCCCCTGAGACAGTGTCGTGAACAAACAAACAGGGTCCCCGCCGACGGGGACCTTGGGGTTTAACAGGTTGCTATTGTTCCTACAGTACATGAGAAACAGGCTGCAGGGGGACTGTCTGGCATGATGGGTGAGTTTACCATGTCAAGCCTCAGAGATCTTCTTTAAACAAATGCAAAAACATTACTAGAATTCCAATAGGGTCTAAAAAAAGAAACATTGTTTATTCGTCAAAAGCTTTGGAAAAATGTAAATATTTGTAATTACTTTCTGAAATATGACTACAATAATTTCCCAAAATCACAAATGTGCCAGTAAGAGCTTTACAATATATAGAATTGGAGGGATTGAACCCTCTTTAATGGTCACACATGCAGAGCACACAGCACACACTAGGGCTGCTCAATTAATCGTATTTTAATCGCAATTACGATTTTGGCTTGCAACGATTATGAAACGAAATAAAACGATTATTTATTTCATTTTTTTTTTTCAGTTGAGTTATACTTAAAGTTCAGGGTAATCAACTGTTAAAAACATACTGTTCACATTTTTTTTTTCAATAAATGGATGTTTTCAAAGTAAATGGATAATCGTTTTTAATAATCGTGATATCAATTATTGACCCAAATAACCGAGATTATGATTTTTTCCATAATCGAGCAGCCCTATCACACACAGTGACATTTGTTCTCTGCATTTAACCCATCCTAGTAGTAGGAGCAGTGGGCAGCTATTGTACAGCGCCCGGGGAGCAATAGGAGTGGGGGGGTGCTCAAGGGCACCACGGCAGGGCCCAGGAGGTGAACTGGGACCTCTCCAAGTAGTCCACACTTCCATATGTTACATCTGTTCGGGGACTTGAACCGGCGACCCTACAGCTCCCAGTCCAAGCCCCTACTGACTGAGCCGGACAATATACAAGACATACTATCTGTAAGTTTACATTTTAGATCCCAAAGAAATATATCTTCGACTGGTAAACAATAAAATGAAATGCTAGTTCCAGTCCGACCACAATCAAGCACACTTGCTGGTTTTAACAACCTGGCAGGATCACACTGCTGGTCATTACTGCTGCCGTGTCTGGTGATGCACTTTTCTCTACCTGCCACTCACAGCTGCTGGTTACCCCTCCTCTACCCCAGCCTTCAGCCTTCCCTATGCTTCAGTTTCTTATTTGTCATACATTCACTGGCATCTCTTGCCTTGTGCATAATGTATATGCCATCAAGCCATCAACGTGATATGTGTGCTGAGTTGTGTTCCCCTTTGCATGTCTGCTGGCTTGAATGCAGAGAGGAGCATCCTTTTTCCCCATCAAACAAAATAGTATCCATTTGTAGCTATAAATGGTCCAGTTCCCTTTCACGCAAGCATCCTGAATTATTAATGCATGTTGAAAACGGACACACCACATCTGAATATTAGAATCAAACATTTAGGAATACAAATTTAGTTTTTTAATCCCAGCATTAAACAATAGACGGAGAGTGAACATTGCACCCGAAAAGCACAACACACACACCCACACACACACACACCACATCACACACACACACAACACACCACACACACACACACCACACACACCACACACACCACACACTACACACTACACACCACACACGACACACTACACACACACACACACACACACACCACACACACCACACACACACACACTACCTACACACACACACACACCACACACACACACACACACACCACACACACACACACACACACACACACACACACACACACAAACACACACCACACACACACACACACACACACACACACACACACACACACACCACACACACACACACACACACACACACACACACACACACACCACACACACACACACACACACACACACACACACACACACACACACACACACACACACACACACACACACACACACACCCTTTAGGATATGCTAATTGTTTCTAACAAGGAAGGATGTCGTTTACATTTTTCATGTATTTGTGACGGTGTGTCTGCCTGTGTCTTTGTGTGCATTTGTGCATCCATGTGGACTGAAAGACTATACCTTATCATAATTGAAAGCTGCACAGCATCTTGTGTCGTTCCTCATGATTATGTTCAACCCCTGTTAAAATATTTGAGCCTGCTATTTTAGACACAATGCAATGTATACTGTATGTATCTTTCTTTTCACATATTATACGCACACATTTGTTTTACTTCTTTCTCATCCTTTCCGTTTACTTAATGACACGGCCCATATTAGATAATTCCTATTGGATGATGTTGCCATCATCAGTAATCCCCGCAAAGGCTTGGAATAGAAGTGCATAACCCCAAATGCTAACATGTAGAGTACTCGGTTACGTAAGTGTCGTTATTCACATTCACAGAGTGGTTAGGTACTGCTGTCCTTTATCCCTGCTTTCTTGTGGTTCTACTGCGGCACAGTTTAATATCTGTATTTTCTGCTTTGTTTGTTGCTTGTCTAGGAAGCTTCTGGCACACCACCACCCTCCCAAAGCTCTGTGCTCATCCAGGAGACAGAGCTCCTCACTGTCTGGTAAACTAACAATGTCTTACAGATCGTGGCCAAACCGTCTGCTCATGTCTGCTAAGCTCAGTGTCTTACTGAGTACCAGTCTGCCCAGTTTAATATTCAAGACACACAATATGAGCACTTTCCAGTACCACAGCTTTGATTCAAGCCTTGCTCTGGCCTTATCCTGGCTTTCAACAGACATGCAACAACTAACGGCGGGTTTGTGCACTATGTTTGTTTTGTTCCAGCAAATATGATAGAAAAAAGACAGCAAAATGGTTTGGCAGGGGAACATAGCAAAGGCACTGTGATAAATCATTAAGAACATCAAACTCAGCACCACAAGCAATGTGTTCCTTCATCAATCACAGCCATCTGATAGAGTTCATTTGATTATGTGAAGATTTCAAAGAGTTCAAGAAAAGAGTACAAAAACCTTTAGAATGATGCAACTCTACAAGTGTCACTTTAAATGACACATTCTTCTTTGCTTAACGTTTTTACTTAGTATTTACACTACAATTTTGGTCTCTGGAGTATTTATCTGAAAGGATTTATCTCCACTTAAGCCATTCCCTGCAATTTGAAGCCGCCTGGGCATTAGTGCTAGTACAGTCCTTTGATGTCAACTCGCACAAAATAAAACATTTCAACGGCTTCACTAAAAGTTTTTTTTCAAGCACTCAAAACGGATTCTTAGAAATGCTGATGAGTATGAGAGAAAAATAAAGAATTTGATTCTCTTTAGTCACTCTTCAGCATTTAAAGATACCTGGTCAAACATAATTGTTAAGTGTCAATATTTGCCAATAAAGGTATTTCAATGTAGGAGAGACGCAAACAAACAAACAAACGTATTCCTCCTTAAATGCGATAAAGTAGTTCAACACAGTTTGAACCATAGACTATAATATTGAGCCAGTTTGTATGTCTGGTTGCTAAAATGTACTGCACCTTAATTTGTAAGATATTTTTGTTATAAAAAGTTGCTAATATTTAATTTGATGTCAATAGAAAGGGTTATTCTGAATGAAATAACAATAAAGATTGGACTGTTTTAGGATCATCGAGCAAATCATATAAGAAAATCAAATGTATTCCCTCCTTTAAATCAATGATTCCCTCATCATGTAAAAAGTAATGATGCCCTCGGGTCGTTTTCTTTATCTGCAACTTTGCCCAGAAGCCAAATACAATATTAAGAAAGGGAGATAAAAGTTATGAGTACAGATTTGTATATACACCTTAAAAACACGACTATCACACAGATATAAACAGTTTAGCAAAATCTCTGACTGATGTGCAAAACATTTTCTCCTTTCGATTCATATTTGTATATCGTCCAACCATATGTAGAAAGAATAGCCAACAATAAACATCCGAGCACAACATTATCATACAATTAAAGAATGCCACTAAAGAAAGAGGCTGTGACTTACTGTAAGTCAAGCCATAGACCATGGACACCACAACGGGCGCCACATGAATAAACCTATGGAATAAACACAACGAATATTGCACAAAAACACACAAACTCCACAGCAAGACATCGCATCACTAAAGTATGCAACATATAAACGCAAAAGGAGTTAAGTCTCTACTCATGTCAATCTTGCACTGTTTTTACATTGAGGATGTATAGGTTTGTCTTGTACATTATTGTTCATAAGACATTGAAAACTACAGCAGGTTATGTTGCAACACTTCAAACGTTTTGAAGAAATAATTGGCATTTAGTGTTATAAGGTAAACACGAAAATGGAATGGAGAGTGGAAAATAAAATTAATTGAAAAATTCTTGAATTGTGGATAAATTACGCACTTTCGTTTTGATGACGAGCAGTCAATATGTCACTTCCGGCTATCATCTTTGCTTAGCCAACAACTTTGGAAGCATGGATGTATAATACATATTAAAATGAATGTTAACTGGACTGCCAATTATACATTTGCCCATAAATATACTATGGTTCAAGCTGAGTAAAAGTTTATTTGAGAAATATGGAAATGTCTGCAGAACAAGGTAAATGTTGTCAAACAACTTATCCGAGCAGATGCTACTCACAAACACGGTAAAGTTTTAACTTACTTTTCTACTCCTCCTTTCACGCCGATGCAGGAAAAACAATCCGATTGCTTCACTTTAAAAACTTCGTATTCCCCATTTTGCCTTTCATAAAGTTGTGTAGCCCTTACTTTCACGCTGTTTTGGAAAAAAACACCGTCCCTTCTTTTCCAAACGGTTTTACCTGCGTGTGCACCTGTTACACACGCGGTAATGAGGGGGCGCTCGATTTCGGCCACCTAAAGTCCCCGCCGGACGATGCCATTTGGGTGTGCCTTGGTAAATATCCTTAATCTCATCCATCACACATAGCCTTCTTAAACTTGTTTCTGTTGCTGTGCTGATGCGATTTTCACAACCTTATTTTAGTTTTTTAATTTGAGTGTGGAAGTATATATCATAGTAGTTTTACCTAAATATTTGTCTTGCTTTTTCTGTGGCTTTTAACCACGTCTCTCTGGAGTTAACTTGGCTTTCTGGAAGGGTGCCACAAAGCGGGAGATAATAACATAACATTGAATGTGGGTGGCCTCCTTGATCTGTCGGTATTCCATTTACTTCTGATGGATGATTTTGACCCCCTATCTTTATGATGCAAGCCCAATTCTTTTTTCTGGTGTTCAGTATGTTTTATCTCCATAAAAAGCATTTTGATCTGGATGCAAGTTGTTTTTTCAGCTAATGTAATCAATAATTTGCTAATTATACCCTAACACGCCCACAGGAGGATACGAGAATGTGGTTAATCCTGCCTGTGTAAATGTATTCCCAAAATAGAAAATTCAATGAAAAAGATAAATGATTGAGGGAATGGGACTGAGCTTTTCATTTAATTTCAAACCTTTATTTATACAGATAAATCCCATTGAGATCATCATTTCCCTTTCAACATTATGATACAACCCTTTCACTCTGGAGCTAACAATGTTAGAGTGACCTGCCCTCTGCTTGATGAGGTTACATCTGAAGCCCTTAATCCATGACAGTCATGGACACTTGCTGAGAGCGGACAGAAATAGAAATGCAAATGCTTTGAGTTTCATAACTCCTCATAAAGAAATGATTTCCCTGATCTGTTTATCTTTGATGTGCCACATCCGTTCATGCAGTATAGAAAACATAGGTTTTCATATGTTTCATGAATTCAGCATACTTCATTAGTATCCTCCTATATAATAGCTGAAAATGGACTAAACATACAGGCAGTTAAAGTTGTATAAAGCCCATATTATTCTTTCACTGCATTGTTTTTTTCACCATGGGGATTTTGGGGGTTGGAGTTGCAGTCTCTAAACACATGCTGCATATGAGATCCAATTAGAGGTGATTTACTGCCCTCCTTGAATAGGAAAATGGCTGTATGATAAAATAAGCAATCTGATCCCCAGATGTGAATTTCTTTTTTACTGTAGTTTGCAGCACAGAGATTTATTCAGCATCACTTAGAGGTTTATAGTTATTCTAGTGCGGTTTTTGCAGTCTGTTGGGCAATTTTTTTAATTTAAAGTTTTACATTGAGGCTTTATAGCTTTGCTTTTATGAGGTCTACTACTTGCTTTTGTGGCCAGAGATGAGAGCGGGAGGCCAACACACATCTAATAGCCCCTTGTATCTTGTGAAATGGTAACAGATAGGTGGGATTAGAGGGCAGACTGCACACTGTGCCCATGTGGTTCCCATCTCATCTAGTCAACATGTTGTCATTAAGTGTCTTATCTAATTACTTCCACCCAAAGTGGATGTGGCAGTTCCAGTAGGCTCTTCCTCTGAGCGCCACACTGTTGATGTAATGCCTTAAGTGCTAAATGCTATGGGATTTATGTACACAGACCTTGTAATGTATGATTGCAAAGATGATTAGGAGCATGATAATAATTTCTGATTCCTGTTAATAACATAGATCCAGTGTACATTCAGTGCATTTATCTTTTTTATACACTGGAGGTTAAAGAAAATATAAATTGGCGACACACTTTGGATTTAGTATCATCGTTTGGACTGTCTGTCTCTGTGGAGGAAATCTGTGCAGCAATGCGTGTCTCAGACCATTTACCGGTTCTGTTTACAACTTCGATCCCTTCCGCAGGAGTCGAATCACGTGCCCCTGCGCGTCGTCTGCGTTCGATTAACCCCTTGACTGCCTCACAGTTTTCTGATGTTTTTAATGCTTCCCTGATCTGTAAATTAGAGGTGAACTGTGCTTTTAGTGCTGATGAGCTTATCTCCATGTTTGACTCGACATGTACATATTGGATTCTGTTGCTCCTTTTACGGTTAGACGCACCAAAGTTCTCTCAGAGCCGTGGCTTAGTGACTGTACTCGTGCTCTCAGACGCACCTGCAGGCGTGCAGAGAGAAAATGGAAAATGGATAAACTCCATAGAAATATTTCGTGCTTGCCTTTCCGACTACCAGACGGCAGCCAAAACAGAGCACATTTCTCTGTTAATCTCCAAAAACAGCCATAAACCTCAGGTTCTTTATAATGTCCTCAACTCTATCATTAATCCCTGTGATGTTTCTTCAATTGTGCCATCGAATACTCTCTGTGATAAGTTTCTTACATTTCTTATTGAAAAAGTATCTGCACTTAGGCTAGCCCACACTAATGCTACCCCAGATCCTGCTCCTTTTCTGTGCCCTGCTGCCCTCGACCACTTTGAGCCTGTATCCCTCTCTTCTTTCTCGGATGTAGTCAAGCACCTGCGGCCGACAAACTGCACCTCAGACAGCATTCCCTCTCGCCTTCTCAGAGATGTTTTCGAATCAGTTGGAGCAAGTATTTTATTACTAATAAACACCTCTCTTAGCTCAGGATATGTCCCAGCTGCCTTCAAACATGCTGTGGTGCAGCCACTACTTAAAAAGAAAAATCTCGACCCCTCCATTCTCACAAATTTTAGGCCCATCTCCCAGCTACCTTTTTTATCTAAAGCCCTGGAGTGAGTAGTCTATGTCCAGCTGCAGTCGTTCTTAACCACATATGGCATCCATGAAAAGTTTCAGTCTGGCTTCAAACCTATGCACAGCACTGAAACAGCCCTTTTAAGAGTTTTTAATGATCTGCTCCTAGCCGCCGACTCAGGTAGCCCAGTGCTGTTGGACCTGACAGCTGCCTTTGACACTGTGGACCATAGCATCTTGTTGTCACGGCTTGAACAGTCCGCAGGCATCACAGGCTCTGCCCTTGCATGGTTCAGGTCCTACCTGACAGACCGTAGCTTCTCAGTGCAGCTAGTTGCCTTCTCCTCTGCTAAAGCCCCTCTTACCCGTGGGGTTCCCCAAGGCTCTATCCTGGGCCCCATCCTCTTTTTACTGTACATACTGCCCCTAGGTTCAATTCTCACTAAACACAATATTCCCTTCCACTGCTACGCAGACGATGTACAGATCTATCTGCCTCTCAAAGCAAATGTCAAACACTCAAGTCACTACAGCAGTTGATGGACTGCTTGATAGAGATAAAATCCTGGCTGAGCAAAAACTTCCTTAACCTCAATGAGAACAAGACAGAGGTCATCTTTTTTGGACCCCAACCTCCAGCCTCTCCGGTTCATATTCTGGGCTCTCTCAATGAAAACATCCTCCCCTCTGTCACGAACCTTGGAGTGACCTTCACTAGCACTTTTAAATTTGACAAGCAGGTCAGCACCAGTAAAATCTTGCTTTTTTAAAATAAGACTATTGGCCAAGACCAAGTCGTTTTATCTTTTAAAGACCTAGAAAGGGTTATTAATGCCTTTGTTACCTCCAGACTGGACTATTGCAACGCTCTGTATGTGGGTATGGACCAGGCCTCAATTAAATGCCTGCAGCTAGTCCAAAACGCAGCTGCACGTCTTCTGACTGGCCACAAAAATCACCCCAATTCTGGCCTCACTACACTGGCTTCCAATTCGGTTCCGAAATTATTTTTAAATCCTTTTATTTGTTTTCAAAGCCCTAAATGGGCTGGCTCCGGCCTATATAGCCAAACTCCTCCATCACTACACCCTAGCCAGAGCCTTAAGGTCGGCTGATCAGCTGTTGTTGATAGTGCCGAAGACCAGGCTCAAAACCCGAGGGCACCGAGCATTCGGAGCAGCTGGCCCCAGGCTCTGGAATAGTCTGCCCCTCCATGTGAGGTCGGCCCAGACACTAGGGGTTTTTAAATCATCACTGAAGACATACTTCTTCTCTCTGGCCTTCTAGTCAGAGTGGAGTATGACACCTGACTATTCCCTGTGTTTTTGTTTTTTATATTTCTGTTGTAAATGATTGTCTTTTATTGTGATTGTAGTAAAGTACAGCACGTTGGCTCGACCAAAAATTGCTTTTAAATGTGCTATATAAATAAAACTTGATTTGATTTGATTAGACTGAACCATCTTACTGTAGATGCGGCAAAAGCAGCACAGGATACAAAGATGTCTTCTCAAAGAAAAACAGCCAAAGCACTCGTCAATTATTCCTGTCCTTTTAATTTTAATTTCATCCTCCTTGAATGAGAGATCTTTACACAAAGGTTTCTCTTTTTGCTCCAATTAAAAAGATGAAGTCTGAAATAAAAGAGCTACTGGTTTATAAATACTAGGACTTATAAACACAGCACATTGCGAACTGCATATGCAGGTTCTACTGCAGAGTTTTGTGTGAATGTACTGTGACTGTCTCTCAGTAGACTGTTCTGTTTCTTCTGAGGAAAGAAAATAACAGCTCAGTAAGCACGCAGGGAGTTGCTATAAAGCAAGATAACATATAAAAATGTCTGCTGGTTGACATCTTTTTCTCAACATTATTACATGGAGTCAATCTGGTGGAGGGCTGTTTATCAGTCAGGGGCTTTAAAGGGACATAAAAATATGTGGACATGATGGATGGGAATAGATTGAAAATGGTTAAAGCGTGACCTTTTTTGTTAATTTGCATGTTAGCCATATTTTGTGTTGATGCGCTATGCATACTGAGCTTTAGCACAAGCAGCCATCTAATTCTACCTAAATCTTTTTTTTTAATTGTATGTTGTGATCCAGATGCTTTTTCTAGCCCATGAAAGGGGATTATCTTTGCTGCGTGACTCTCCCTCTCCCCTATTGTGGCTGTGCAGTTGTGCATTGAGCCACCAAGGAATCAATGGCTCATCTCCTGAGAGCTCTTAGAGGTTTAAAGAGTTATGACCGAGTGTTAACTATTGAGGCTCCATCATTAAGAAAAGATACAGAAAAGCTTTAAATCTAATACAAAACAAAGTAAAAAACTGCAC